GACTGTGATTGGTGATGATACTAATCAGAGTACTTAAACGAATTTTACGACTCGCTGTAAACCAACCACAAAAAAAAATCGAAAAGCCAATGGCTTTCAAGTTCTCCCAGTTGGCCTCCATAAACAAAAAGGTCTCAGCCATCGAAAACACCTCCGGCAACGTTCGCCGTTCGAACCACCCAAGCGACCGGTTCGAACCATCGAGCCAGCCCATGCCGTGGACGGCCAAAGGTGGTACCTCAAGCGTGCGCGCACAGCATCCACCGGGGCGGTGAAGAATCACTAAGAAGCTGCCTGAAACAAGGGGAGCCAAGGGGGGGCCATTGGGTTTAGGGTTTCAGAGCGCCTTCAGCCGCTCCACTCACGCGTTGGTCATCCATCCAAATCATCCAATGAAAGGCTGGTGAAGGGGTCAGACCATCGGAAGAACCCTCCGCGTGCGTACTGACAGTCCAGACAGTCCAACGAGTACTGGCCCGGCTCGCTCGACGTGGCATATTGGGTGACCCCAAAAACGCATCTGGGCATCCAGCATGTACCAGGGCCCCCTCTACCCCATGGGGTGGTTTTCATGGACACTTTTGGACACCTCTTTCAGGAGCTATTAGACATCCCTGGCCCGGGGGCCCTGGTATCTGTGGACAGATCTCTCTGTGGTGCACAAATCTGGAGACCCAGCATCTCTTATATCGACTGGATCTCCAGATCTTCCAAACGCGCGCGGCCGAAAAAATGGCGATGTTTGCTGCTCGCGGCTTCCTGCGAGCCGAGCCACCCACGAAGAGCAGCTCTAAATGGTAGAGGCCGTCGCCACGAACGCCAGCGGTTGGCACAGGGCGGGGATGGAGGATGAAGGTTCCCTCCTTGGATGGAAAGAAAGGGCAACTGCGGATGGTCCCCTAGAGCTCCAACCACATCAATCCGCAGAGGGAAAGGGTGAGGTGGCCAATGTGTGGGAAAAATCCCACAGAAACCGGACAACCAAGGCTTCCTCATCTCGTTTTTGGAGCTTCAAGGTCCACTCGTGGGGGTTGTAAAAGGAAAATGAGCTAACCAGTCCACTCGGGAGGGGTAAATATCAGGACCAGGTACATGTAAGCATTCTTATTGGATGATGTTGGGGGCTCTTGTTCTTCCAGTTCTCTCTTGATCTTTCAGCGCCGTTCTCGATCCTTACCGGCTTCAACGTCCCTCTGATCTGCGCTCGGATCGGAGGTGGCAGGCGGCTCCCAGGTAAGCCGGGAAAGGATAAAACATATGCCCCAGGTTTGGGCGTAAGATTGACCCAATTCGGGAAAACCCAGGTTGCAGGCATGCAAACTGGCTGGAGAAACTGGGAAAAGGACTGAGTCAATGGAGTTCGCTGATCTGGCCCACATGCAAGGGCTCTTAAGGCGAACACCAAGCTGCAACCAAAATGTGCGCAGCTTGCACACTTGAATAGCGCTGATCATCTGCTTTTTGTGATGCACACTACAGACCTACAACAATGCTAAAACCATTAAAATGCCAGATCCTCGTGGATGCCCTTGAGCCTTTCTCCCCCCCACGATCTCACCTCACTTGGAAGAAAGGACATCGCCAAGCGTCCACGTCTTCTGGGAAGTACTCCTCGCCCACCAAATCTTGCACCTCCAAAAGAGAGGGCTTTAAGAAGCAGATCAGCAGATCTTTGTATAGTACGAGCCAAGATCGTATTTGGTTTGCTCCTAGCTCTGCTGTTGCTGGAAAAAGGCGAGATCTGTCAGCAGCGTCCCTGCTTTCCATCTGGAAACCGACTCACGGCGGCGTAGCATTGTCAGACGTGCCTTGCGCCAGACGTGCTCCGGGAGCGCAGGCAGCCGGGCATGCCGCGCTGCCAGCAACACACTCAGCAGTGGCGCCATAAGGCAGCGAAGCTCAAGAAGTCAGATGTTCAGCCACTGCTGAGGCGAGATGGATGCTGAAAAAGGTTACTTTCTGATGAGTTGGATATCTAAGGACTTTTCCTTAAGGCTTTTGTGAGGGACTGAAAGGGAAGATCTCTTGTAAACACAGAGATGGCTTTCTGTGGGAACATCATCGCTCCCAAAACAGTAGCGCCTCGCTCGTTTCCGACTAAAGCCTCGGAGCGGCAGCTGTTTTTTAGGGCGTTCATCCGATGCAGTATCAACCAAGCTGGCGGTCTTGTTCAGTCCAGGGCGTTCCCATGGTTTTCCTCATGGTTTCCTCACCATACAGCCGGGGAAAAAAAACAGGAGATCGGGGGTGCGAAGCACTGGAGATGCAGGGGCCATTCATGTCTCTTCTTTCGGCCATGTCTTCTGCTTCACAGTTCGAAAAAGAACGACTTCTCTTTGGGGGGCAAGTACTCACGAATGACTCACCGATTTCTCTCAAAAGAACTGGATGTTCGTGGATTGTATTGATAAAGGATCGATCTAAATCTATGAAACAAACTTGTCGGCCTTGAAAAAATATCCCATTGATATTCACCATAAAATAAACAAATTACACCACCGTAGACCCCAAACAGTTTGTGATTTTCAATATCGGAACACTCTGCAACTAGAGCTTGCGACGTCCAGAGCTGGGAGACAAAGGATTGCAAGGCAGAGGCGGCCACAGCAATCCACAGCTTGGAAACAAATGAAAGGATTGCAAGCGACACACAGCCCAGAGCTGGGTGACAAATAAAGGATTGCAAGGCAGAGGCGGATACAGCAGTCTAGAGCTGGGAGACACATGCAAAGGCTTGCGAGGACACATGCAAAGGGATTGCAAGGCAGCGGCGGACACAGCAGTCAAAGCTGGAAGACAAATGTAAAATTAAGGATTGCAAGGCAGAGGCGGACACAGCAGCCCAGAGCTGGGAGACAAATGTGAAGGATTGCAAGGCAGAGGCGGACACAGCAGCCCAGAGCTGGGAGACAAATGTAAAGGATTGCAAGGCAGAGGCGGACACAGCAGTCAAAGCTGGAAGACAAGTGTAAAATTAAGGATTGCAAGGCAGAGGCGGACACAGCAGCCCGGCGCTGGGAGACAAATGTGAAGGATTGCAAGGCAGAGGCGGACACAGCAGCCCAGAGCTGGGAGACAAATGTAAAGGATTGCAAGGCAGACACAGCAGCCCAGAGCTGGGAGACAAATGTAAAGGATTGCAAGGC